CCCCCAACCCTCACCCCCCCTCCCTCCCTTCGCCCGGCAGCTGCGGCGCGGGCCCAAGCGGCTGGAGAGACCCGGATGTGGGAGGGCCGGAACTGCGGCGCGGGCGCGGGGGGGGAGGGGCCGCGGTGACGTCACTGCCCTGCGCTGCTCCTGGGCGGCTGGCGGTAGGGCGTCCGGCGCCTGGGGCCGGTCTCTCGGGGGAGCCTTGGCGTCCTGGGGTGGGAGCCAAGCGCCCGGCCGGCCGGCCTTCCGTGGGGCGCTCAGGTCCCCCTCCAGACCCGGCCACACCGCCTTTTACACCTGCCTACAGACCCCGATTTCCTGGCGCAGTCGCGGTTAGGGCCCGGCGTGGGGGTTGGGGGAGGAGTCAGCCTTCCTCGGCGACCCCAGGAGCCCCACTCGGGTGCCGCGGCCACACCACGTGTGTGTGCGCGTGTGTGTGAGTGTGTGTGTGTAACCAGTTCACGCCTTGGGACATGTGCCCAGAGCTGCTGGCAGGCTGTCCCTGCGTCGCTCCAGGGATTCCGAATTGTATTTATGTGCATCACGTTAACGGGGGTCACGTGGTTGCGTCTCAACGGGCACTTCCCAAGACCTCCAATGAGGTTCAAGGAACCGAGGGTTTTTCAAAATCCGGAGGGCAATCCGAAACGGGACAGCCGCTTCCGTCAAGAGCTAAGAGATGAGCTAAAGGTGGTTGAAACTGCACGTGCAGGCGGCCAAGATCCAGTTTAGCTAGCTAGACCACAGAGAAGCCGACCCACGCTGCTTGCAGACGCCGGGGGATAGAATGACAAACCCTAGGCAGCCAATGAATCAGAGCTGGAAAGCAGTACATCACCAGTATGAGTTCCTATTGGCTGGGGTGCCTTCCCAGCTTCTCAGTCACCGTTTTAACCCTTACACCGAATTCGCAGGGACAGAAGTTTAAGAGAGATTCTCTTAATAATACAAAGAAAAACAAAAGGTTTCGTTGAAATAAGCTAGTACTTTAAAAATAACACAAACTATTAACCAAATTCAGCTCTGGCCAGTAAGAAGATGAATTTCATTAAGGCCTTCCCTTTTTCTCCTGGGTGCTTACTGTAGCAATTTGTACTCTGTTACTTTGTGTCTCCTAAAATTACTACATTACCTTGACTGTTAAATAAAATACAAACTGCTTCTTGCTGTCTGTCATTCAAAGAAGCTATTCCTTTACTTTGGAAGTTGTGAAAGCCATTTCCAATATTTTCAGCATGACTTTTGGGAAAAGATTCTGTTTCCTTCACTTTTACACCTGACACCTAATGGCAACGACTGCCAGTTCCTGACAGACCACATCTTCATTGAACCTCCAAATTGCTCGATATCTTGGGAGTAAGGTGAAAATGTAACATTTCCAGGTATTTAAAGTAAAAATAAAATTCGCTATGCATTTCTTAATTCTCTATACAAGTGCTGAAGATAAACGAAATTAGATGAGAAGTCTTTTAATGAAATGCTGCCTTGTTGGAATGATTATATATTATCACATACAATATATATTTAAATTAATATATTTGTTTAGGTTTTCTTGTTAAGTGGTGATGCTGGGCATTGAAAACAGAGTCCTTTGCTCGTTAGTCAAGTACTCAACCACTGAACTCTGTCCTCAGCCCTGGTTAGGGTTTTTTTTGGTGGGGGTGGGTTTTTATTGTATGTGTGCCTGTGTTTGTTTTGTTTTTGAGACAGGGTCTCTATGTAGCTCTAGCTGGTCTAGAATTCTTTATGTAGATCAGGCTAGCCGCAAACACACAGTGACCCTCCCGATTCTGCCTCTGGATATTCTGAGAGTGTTCCACCACACCTGGCTAAATTCTTAGTACTTTTAATACTTCAACAAGTTAGGGCATGACAAGCCTGCTAGTGGGTTCGTTAACATTCTGAGATACAAAAGTCATGTGAGAGCCACCATCTAGTGCCGTGTGTGTGTGTGTGTGTGTGTGTGTGTGTGTGTGTGTGTGTTTTCAGGACAGTCTTAGATATTTCAGGCTGACCTTGAACCCTATGAAACTGAGGATGACTTTTAATGCATCCTCTGGCTTCCACCTCGCTACTCCTGGGTGCACCACCACACCTGTCTAGAGTGCTCTTAAGCAATAAATTTTCATGTTGAAAGAAAAGCTGAGTCATCTGTGTACTCTATAGAAAACTGGGAGAGTTTTGTCAGGCTTCGTTAAGGTTTACGTTCCTGAAGCCTCACTGTTCTGTCTTTGTAAGAAAGCCTGGGTAACAGAAGAGGTAGAAAAGTTCAAAATGTAATCATAAGGAGATTTCTCAGGAGTCTTACCAATGTGTCACAGACAGCCAGTCAGCTGTGCCTACCAAGTCTCATTTTGGACACAGTTTGTAGGGATATTTTCAAATGAATGAGGAAACTTGTGAGCTATAAAGCTAACATTTAAAAACTTCAAATAAGACATTAATATCATCTAAAATGTTGATTATGATATTCCCTTATCTTATTAAATGTCTTTGTTGTTTGAAGCAAGGTCTCTCTAGTCTTGGCTGCCTGAAACTCACTGTATAGAAGTGGCTGGCCTTGAACTCACAGAGATCCACCTGCCTCAGCCTCCTCAGTGCTGGGATTAAAGATGTGTGCCACCACACCCGGCTCAATTATTAAATCTTCTACGAAGGAAGGGGAAATATATATAGAAGGGAAGAAACTTTGGAAATAAGAGGGTTAAATGTTTTTCAGTTTTGAATTCTATGGCTTTACTTCATCTTCCAACATGTTCAAAGTCTTCACAATAAGTTTTGGTGAAATATCAGTTTGATTGTTTTTACATATATAAAACTATCATATTGCACACAAGAGAATCTGATTTTTATATTTTAGTTAACAAAGGGAAAGGAAGTTGAAAGGTCAGTTTCAGAGTGCTCCAGTAGCTTAGGAATTGAGAGACTTGGGGCAAGCACTGGGGCTACAATAGGAAAGCTAACGCCTAATACAGAAATGAACTACTAATATACAATTAAAGCCTAGCGCACTCAATATTCACCCATTAAAGATAAACTATTAACATACAAACAAACCCTAGTTAACACTCAGTACTCTCTCCCTTTCCTCTGCAATCCTGACTTTAAAAGAAGAAAAAGTATGGGGGGCGGGTGGACTACAGTCCTTCTTCCAAAACTATTGTGGATGCACCCAGAGACTCAGCCCTGAGAGGGCCTCACCTGGACCTCTCACAGTGCTTCTCCGGCATGTAAGTGACCCCCCCACCACCACCACCACCACCGAAGGACGCCTGAGGAGCCCCCAGCCAGCCATTCATCCACCACAAGCTGAGGACTCCCCAAGAGTTAGGAAACCAAGTGAGCCAGAGGTCCAGCTCTCCCTTCCTCTGCCGCTCGCCCGCTCACTCGCTGGCCCGCTTCACTACCTGGTGCGTGCCTGTCTCTCTCCCAAAGCCTCTTCTTGTGTCCTCTGGCGAGTCTTCTTCTGGTCTCTCTTCTCCCTTTCTTCTGCACTCTTCTTATCTCATTCCCCTTTCTGGCTCTCATTTTTCTCTTCCTTGATTTGACTAGCTTAATCCAAAATGCAGTTTCTGTTAGCCATTTTCTACCGAACTTGGACAAATGAGCAGATAGCACTAAACTAATTTCATTCAGGGGTGGGGTGCCCCACCCCATGCCCTCCCTCCCTCTCCCCCCCTCACCATATCATGTTAATGAAAAACAGCTGTTTACAGGACTGTGCAGGAATGAGAAGGGTTAGAGAATCCTGCCCTATGTGACATCACCACTGAGGTGGGGGAGGGGCAGGGTAGGCCTCCCAGGGTAGGGCAGAAGGGAGCCAGCCGCCTTTTGCTGTTTCTGTGTCTCCTCTTGGTCCCTGAGAAAAATGTGGACAACTCGACGCACTGCTGGCCGAGCGCTAGTGAAGGGCCCTTCCCTCAAGCCCCAGCATGTGGCTATGGCCTGACACTGGTTCTTAGCAGATAAGCACCTCTGTCTGACAGATAGATACCCAATTGTATGCCAGGCACTGGGCTGGATGTGGTGGTAGATGACATGGATGGAAAGGATCCCTGACCCCACAGAACCGGCCTTAGAATGAGGGACGTTCACAAAGAAGTGAATAAATAAAATTAGGTGGCCTGGCGGCGGTGGCACACGCCTTTAATCCCAGCACTGGGGGGCAGAGCCAAGTGGGTCTCTGTGAGTTCAAGGCCAGCCTAGTCTATAGAGCGAGATCCAGGACAGGCACCAAAACTACAACTGTGTCTCAAATACTCTGTCTCAAATAAAATAAAAAATAAAATTAGGCGCTATGAAGGTGGTAAATGGGGCAGTGGAGGAGGTGATGAGCCCAGATGTTTAGAATAAGAGGTTAGCTTGACAAAGAATTGGGGGGACATTTTTCAAGCAGAGGTAACTCTATACACATGGTGTATGAGGGTGTGCATCCACATGCCTGTGTGGAAGCCAGAGGTTGACATCCAGTGTCTTCCTCTGTCCACTTTATTTACTATTTGCTTTGAGACAAGGTCCCTCCCTGAACCTGGAGTTTGCCATTTCCCTTAGACTGAACTGCCATCAAGACTCCATCTCCCCTACACTAGGGTTACAGAGATAGACACCCCCACACCTGGCTTTTTACATGCATGCCTGGGGTCTGACATCAGCTCCTCACACTTTCATAGCAAGCACTTTACAGACTGACCCTGGGGGAACTAATTTTAATTAATAAATACTAATAAATTTTAAGGGGGCTCCTCAAAAACAATTCACCTTGGCATTTCTATTCCTGACCTTGTGGGAGTGCCTGAACTAAACCACATCCTTGAAAGTAAAATGGCAACAGTTTTGCATTTTAACAATGACAGCCTGGTTGGAAACTAGTAATGAAATAAATGGCCGTCACAATAAAGCCTTTTATCCGTACAATCACAGAGACCTGTCAACAAACCCTGTGTGGGGACAGGCCAAGGACTATGGTAGCCTCCTTTACAGAGGAGAAAGCCAAGCTCCAGAGAGGCAGCAATTACTCAGAATTGTCACAGAAAGCAAGGACTGGTCCCTGGACTTTTTCCGGATAATGGTCACCACTAGCCTTTACATGACAGTAATACAGGCTGCAGAGAGGGCTGATATCACTGTCGGACAGCTAAACTGCACGCACAGTTAACGTCTACAAGTTGTGAGAGCTGATGCTAAATATAGCCGTGATTAAAAATAACTGATGTCCGGCACGGTGGCACACACCTTTGATGCCAGCACGAGGGAGGCAGAGGCAGGTGGATCTCTGTGAGGCCAGACTGGCCTACAGAGTGAGTTTCAGGACAGCCAGAGCTGTGGCACAGAGAAACTCTGTCTCAAAAAACCAAAATAAAATAAGTATATAAATAAGCAAATAAATAAATAAATAATAGGGCTCAGAAAGATGGCTCAGCGGTTAAGAGCTCTGGCTGCTCTTCCAGAGGACCCGGGGTTCAATTCTCAGCACCCACATGGCAGCTCACAACTGTCTGTAACTCCAGACCCAGGGGATCTGACACCTTCACACCAAATGCACATAAAGTTAAATAAATTATTTTTTAAAGAAATCATTTATAAATAAATAAATAAAAATAGAAATTATCTATTAGTGTAGTCAGGTCCATTTAAATAAAGACTGCACATGATTAAAATGAATCACCTCCACTTTGCTTCTAGTATTTTTCGTGTGACCTGTGTTTCTGAGGTAATTTCTGCATATTGTGTCCGAGCAGGGGAAGTTCAGAGCTGTAATTTTGGTGACTTGAGATTGGCTGTAAAGGGAGAACTAGCGCCTTGGAAAGGAGCAAACACGACAGATAAAGGCTTGCCGGTGCCTTTTCGCCTCATCTTCAGAAAGGGACCGAGAAAATGTTTCCTGCAGATTAAGCTAGGCATGTCATATCTGTGGCTTTTACATGATGCTTTACAAAAACATCCAGTTCAACCACAAAGTCCCTCATATCAGTAACAGATTAGCCAACAGGCCTGTCAGGACCACATTTGGAGGGCCACTTGGTAAGCATAGGCCAGCACATCCCTGGATCTGCAGCCGCTGTACCATGTGGGACCCATTACTGACTCTTCAAACTCAAATAAATCGTTTAAATTAACTTCAGTTTCTTCCTCCACAAAATGCTTCCTCCCAGGTTAGAAAGGGATCAGGTGCTTTGGAAAACGTGTTTGACATTGTTGGCTGCACCCTCCACGAACATCTTCCTCCCCGGTGGCAGCTCTTTCTCTCCCCAGAGCTTGTATGTGGACATGTGCTCTTGTCCTCCCTTTATCTTAGACCAGCGTCTTGTACCTCTTAGTGATGGGAGATGCTTTGGGAACTGTTAGGCATCCGTCACTGTGTGAGTACTTCTGCAAACCTAAGCGCTGAAGTTCAGTCGCTCCATGCCTTGATGCAATCTAGAGATGTGGGAAACAGGACACATTTGAGGTTACCACCAGAATATCCCAGTTTCATAGGAAACATTTTTTTTTTATGTAGGTGAACACTAAAAAATAATTAATAAACTGGGTGGTGTTAGCCCAGCACATGGGAGGTAGAGGCAGGTGGATCTCTGAGTTCAAGGTCAGACTGGTTTACAGAGTGAGTTCCAGGACAGCCAGAGCTACACAGAGAAACTCTGTCTTGAAAAAAATCACCCCCAAAAATTAATAAATAAAAAAATAAAAGTATATAAACCAGTAACATAATTGTTTGTCATCATTTTCAAGTACTATATACCGCTTATGATTGTATTGCTATGCTTTTTTTATACTGCTGACAGAACAGTGACTTTGTACCAGCCTCACCTCAAACAGGAGTCATGTGTGATGTAAGGGTTTCATCACAGCTGTAGCTTTGCTAGATTTGAATGTTTTAGCCCCCTTGTGTATGGGACTTCCAGACAACACCAGACCTGTGGTCTGTCACTGAAGTATCGCTTTGTGACAAATACTATATACCAATCTACGTACCCGCAATGCTCGAGTATGTCTTGAGTGGACCAAATGTGTGACCAGGTATTGACTCCATAAGCCCTTGGAACATTAGAGGGAAGCTAAGCGGTTGATGTCCTGAGACATTCCCAATTTACCTACCAGCTACCTCGTCCAGATACGCTCCAGATCTGGTTGTGTTATGACATGAAACACGTAGAAAGCACCGACTTGGGGTGTCAGTATGTGCTCAACTTCTGGCCATTAGGCTCTGAGAAATCTTGAGGAGATGAATCTGGAAAGCTCTGTAAAAAAAAGAGTCACATGAAGAAAACACGCCATCTGCGGCCATGTTTTGTCTGTGCGTGAACCACAATAACACAGGGAAGGAGAATGTTAGCCCGTCTGTGTGACTCACAGGGCCAAACCATTCAGCCTCCCCTGCAACTGTCTACTTCTGGAATTTTTATTCAAGTAGGGATGAATTAATTAGTTATTAATTTTGAGATAGGCTTGCCAGGCACACCGTGTAGATCAGGTAGGCTAGCTCTGAACTCAGAGAGATCTGCCTGTCTCCGCCTCTTGAGTGCTGGGATTAAAGGTGTGTGTATGCCACTATGCCTGGCTGGGGAGAGAGGATGTTAAATGTTCCTTATTGATAAAACCCCACTTATTTTTTGTATTTGGTTATTGGCAACTATGAGAACCCAAGGACTCAGCAGGAACACCGGCTCGGTTGCGGCTAGTGGCAAGAGTTCATGGAACTAGTTCGCACAACCAGCTCCTTTGCCTTTGGGAAAATGGACATAGTCCGGTGGCCGCCGATCTTATCTCCTAAATATCTGAAGAATTTTTGCTCACTTTAGCTCCACTTTTAATCTTTATCTCATTTCTCTCCTAAAAGTGGTTTGGTTTGGTTTTTTAATTGGCTGGTGAAATGGTAATTGCAAAGTCATTTAAAATTTAGGACAACTAAATGCAGAGATACTAGCATGCGCTTTCTCTTGAAGGACCCGGACCAAGGCTACTTTTCAATGGATGAGGTCTCAGAATCACTACATTTTGCAGAATAGATCCAGAACTAATTCATGAGCATTACAAAGATAATTTCCTGTAGCTAGAGTTTTCCTGTCTTGCCCACAGTCAGGACAAATCTTTGTCACCCGCCAGTCCCACAGCCGCTCAGACCCAACCAAGTAAACACAGAGAGACTTATATTGCTTACAAACTGTATGGCCGTGGCAGGCTTCTTGCTAACTCTTCTTATAGCTTAAATTAATCCATTTCCATAAGTCTATACCTTGCCACGTGGCTGGTGGCTTGCTGGCATCTTCACATGCTGCTGGTCATGGCGGCGGCTGCAGTGTCTCTCTGCGTCAGCCTTCCACTTCCCAGAATTCTCCTCTCTCCTTGTCCCACCTACTTCCTGCCTGGCCACTGGCCAACCAGTGTTTTATTTATTGACCAATCAGAGCAATTTGACATACAGACCGTCCCACAGCAATTTCCTTTCAATATAGGAAAAGGAAAGAACTTGGCCTAGGATACAACATACTTCATACTAAGCTCTTTATGAGTGTGATCAAATTCATTTCTCATAACTTTGCCAAGAAAAAACTTTGTGTGTGTATATATATTAGATATATGTAGTACATGGTATATATGTGTTTATACATACATACACATACACATAGATGGATGGATGGATAGATAGATAGATAGATAGATAGATAGATAGATAGATAGATAGATAGATAGATAGATAGATAGATATTATAAAGGAGGCAGTCAGGAGAAAGGACTCCTTTGCAAACACAGGGCAACATGATTTTCTAGTCCCAGGATTTACTATTGCAAAGTTGGTTGGGCCTTCCTGGGATGGCTTGCTTTCTTCCTGTGACCCTTTTCAGATCATTATTTTGTAAACAACAACAAAACCACAGAGCCCCCGCCCCCCAATAAAAATTTACTCCTCAAACATGCTGTGGATATCACTATATGTAAATAAATCTGATTGGCCGATAGCCAGACAGGAAGTATAGGCGGGACTAACAGAGAGGAAAATTGAGGTAGGAGGAAGGAGAGGGGAGACACTGGAGCCACCGCCAGGAGAAGCAACATGTAAAGACACCGGTAAGCCACCAGCCACGTGGCTAGGTATAGATTTATAGAAATGGGTTAATTTAAGATAAAAGAACAGTTAGCAAGAAGCCTGCCACGGCCATGCAGTTTATAAGTGATATAAGCATCTGAGTGATTATTTTGTACGTGGATTGTGGGACTGCGGGGCTTGGTGGAACCTGGAGAGAAGCCCTCTAGCAACAAATGGCACCCAACGGCTCGAGTTTCCACCTTAAACCTGAGAATATTTAATAACCAATTCTAAACAGAGCCAAAAACAGGTTCCTGCTTCATGTCTCATACAGGCAGCTAGATGCCTCAAAATTCGGGTTTGAACTACTGGTGGGTTCCTGGCATTTGCATTTGACTGGCAGTATGGCGGTAATGAGGTGTCTGCCAGCGGCACATTACACTGTGTGATAGATTTAGTCTTTCCTAGTATTAAAAAAAAAAGGTTTCTGGGCTACATGCTGCTTTGATAAAAGCTTAGACCCACTATTTCTGAGACTTGATGACTCACAAAACTGGCAGAAAATGCCTTGTTGGTAAGCTGAAATGGGCGGAGCCAGCAGCCACAGCGCCGTTTCAGTCTTAGAATGCTGCAGTTTAAAGCAATAGATTCACAATAAGACTGATTCAGATAAAATCGTTTACAATGTGTGTAAAATATACGTAGGCTTGTAAGAGACAAAAAAAGATGAATTAATATAAAAAAGCCACGTAAAGATGAATATTACACAGACAATCTGGATTGTGTTGTCTTTGGGATTTTTTAACTGCAAAAAAACATTTGATCGAAAAAGATGTTGAATTAAACCAATATGTATATTTTAAAGGTAACTTGACTTCAAAATTTGGATTTAAGGATATGTTGCTTTGGAAAAGAGGTTCTACTTTTGTTTCCACAGAAATCCAGAGGCTATGGATTTGTTCCAGATTAAGATACATCAGGTTTCACCAGCCAAGACCCCCTGAAAGGTCTCCGATGACACCATGGCCCAGATAATCTAACATCCAGAGCAGTTTCAAGGCAACTGGTTCACACAATACCCCACAGGCCTAA